TCACACCGAGGCGAAGGTAGGGGCAGCGGCGTCGAAACACGCCTCAAACTCGGCTCTGTAGCGCTCCCTCTCCAGCTTCCGCCCGATAATGACAACCTGGGTCCTGACTGGCTTCCCCTGAGGCCACGTACCACTGAAGGTCAGCTCTGGCATGTCGTGCACGCCCTGGAGAATGTAGAGACAGGGCGTGCCGTCCCTCTGCTTTGCGGCCAGCACACCCTTGTACCGGTACAGGTCCACGCTGCGCTCCTGCAGGATCTGGGCGAGGAAGGCCTGGAACTTCGACATGACCAACATGCACCCGTCCTTCTCCAAGACCATGGACTTCACCTCGCCGAGCCCATCATTATACCCAGAACAAAAGAGTCGGCGGCGAGCGAGGAGGGGGAAGTGAGGAGGAGATGGCCTTTCTCAGAAGGCTCGGAAGTCCCCCAGCCGTCTGACAAGTTTTCTGGGCCTTCCCCGACGACACAGAAAGCCTCTCAGAAGGCGCGAGGCCGCCGCCTTCTGAGAGGGCCTTCTCCTTCCCATGTCCCCCCCTCCTGCTCCTCCTCCTCATCATCATCCTCCTCCTCCTCCGCCTCCTCCTCCTCCTCCTCATACTCATTTTCCTTTTCCTCCTACTCCTCCTCCACCACCTCCTCATCCTCCTCATTTTCCTCCTCCTCCTCCTCCTCCTCCTCCTCCTGCTGTTCCTCCTCCTCATTTTCCTTTTCTTCCTCCTCCTCCTCCTTTTCCTCCTCCTCCTCCTCCTCCTCATTTTACTCCTCCTCCTCCTCTCCTCCTCCTCCTCCTCCTCCTCCTCCTCCTCCTCCTCATGTCCTCCTCCTCCTCCTCCTCTCCTCCTCCTCCTCCTCCTCCTCATGCTCCTTCTCCTACTCCTCCCCCCCCTCGCTCGCCGCCGAAAGAGCGCCGACGCCGCGGCCTTGCTCCCGCCGCCCTCCGCCGAGCTCTGCCGCCGGCGGCAGAGCCGCCAGCGCTCTGCCTCCCCGCCGCGAACCTCCCGCCCAGGGGCTATCGCGGCGGGCCCTGCCGCCGAGTGCGAGAGGACGCGCCGAGGGCAGGGCCCCCCGGCGGCCAGAGGCCTCTTCGGGGAGGGGGGGGGAGGTTCGACCCCCCCCCTCCTCCCACCTCCTCCTCCTCTCCTCCTCCTCGTCCTCCCTCTCCTCCTCGTCCTCCTCCGCCTGCTCCTCTTCTCCTCCTCCTCCTCCTCCTCCTCCTCCTCCTCCTCTCCGCCTGCTCCTCGTCCTCCTCCTCCTCCTCCTCCTCCTCCTCCTCGCGCGAGCGAGGGTTAAGCCGGGCCTGTCCCTCCACAGGAGGAATATTCAAACATAGTTTTGAAAGAAAATAATCTGGGGACGATGTGTATAGCATTTGTTGACCGTGTTGGACTCAAAACCCCCCTGCAGGGGGACATGCCCGACCCAAAGCGAGGGGGGGTTATGAGAAGAAGAAGGCCCTCTTGGAAGGCGGCGGGACTTCTCAGAAGCCCTCGCACCTTCTGACAGGTTTGTTGTTGTCATTCGGGGAAGGCTCTGGAAGCTTCTCGGGAGGCATGGGGGCTTCCGAGCCTTCTGAGAAGCCCCGCCCCTTCTCGATTCCCCCCCGGCTCGCCGCCGATCCTGCGGAGACAGGGGCTGCCGAAACCGCAACTCCCCGGCCCTCTCCCGGGGTGGTGCGTTCTGACCAGACTTTCGGGGAGACGATCCAGCGATGGCGACGAGGGCCCTCCAGGACGAGCAGCGGTGCCAGTATGCACCTCTTCCCTCTCTGGCTTCTCGGAACTAGAAATCAAAAAAATCCACCCCCACAAGAACCACCCCGACACGCGAAGTCGTTCAGTCAACGCGCCCACAGAAGGAATCAAACAGGGCAGGGCTGTGTAGTAAACGCCCAGGGCCGTTTAGTGATCGCCAAGTGTCTGGTCCGGGTGGGTTTCTCCTCCCTTGAGGAACGCCCCACCTCCGTGTCGTGGCGGTTCGCACTCTGGCCGTGGCCGCCGCCGTGGCCGCTGCCGTGGCCGTGCCCAGAGCCGTGGCCAGCACCGAGCGCCCCGTGGCCGCCACCGTGGCCGCCGCCACCGTGGGAGTCGTCGGCGCAGTCGGGGTCGTGTGCGCCCTCGTGGCCTGCGCCGTGCGCGTCCCCGTGCCCGCCGCCGTGGCCCCCGTGCTCGTCGTCGAGGACGAGGGACGTCTCCATGGCCGCCTGTATCAGGTTCACCTCGGGGCCGATCTTGCCACCGCGGAGACTTGGATTGGATTAGATGGAGCGCTGCGGAAAGACTCCGCCGCGAGGCCATCGATGAATCGGAGCATGCGGCCTTCCTGGGGGACCCCGACAGTGGACGACAGGATTGGGATCCCAACGAAAGCAGCCCAATCCTCGCCGCCGGCATATGGAAATTTGGGGTCAGGAGTGGGGAGAAGAAGCCGACGAACACGGATGCGCAGTAAGGATGCGCAGCATGGGTGAGCAGTAGGGATACGCAGTGAGGATGCAAGGCCCCCGGACGCCCAAGTGGAGGCCGAAGGTGGAGGCCCTATGGCCCATGGCTGCGAAAGGTCAGGATGGGCCGAGGGGCGAGGACGCGGGGGCACCCGTGGAACGCTACTCCAGATTTCGTAATAAAGGGGAGGGGGTCTGGACCCTCCAAGACAAGCCATTTCAGACCCCCCCCCCGTGGGAGAGCCCTCCCAAACATCGTCCCCAGACCCACCCAGGCCCTCCAAGATAGCCCGGAAGAGACCCCCCCCGAAATGAGGCCCCCCTCCCTTTCTTACGAAATCTGGAGTACACATCCTTGTGATGGTTCGACTGTCTGAAAGTCCGCAGTCCACAAGCAAACCGCGCCGGCGCGGGCACGGGCGGCACGTCAGAGGATGTGCGCGCCGATGTCGTCGCCGAGTGCGACAGCAGGAATCCACCAGACGCAGAGGCAGCGCTGGCGAACCTGGCACAGTCGGACCCAGGACGGAAGAGCACCCTTCCAGAACACGAGACCCTCCGACGGCCAAGACAAACGTAACATCCAAGGGCACCCTCCCCAGGATGCACCAGAACACCCAACAAGCACGAAGAACATTGGGGCAACCTTTCCCGAGACCGACCTCGACCTTATGGCTCGGCCCGACTGCACGAGGCCCGCTCGCTGCGGGCAATGTCTTTATCCACATCCAGTGCGCCAGTGCGTCTTGGAGTTCCGGACGCTCATCCCAAGAAACATGAGGCCAAAGGCTCAACTTTTATCCATATCCAGTGCGCCTCGGCCTTGCGGCGCGCGCCGCTCCCCGAAGGACGAGGGGCGAGCCGTGCCGCCCGTGCGCGGGCCAGGCCCGGCAGGCGCAGGAGCACGAGCAGACACGGGGGCAGGACTGCGGCACCGGCACCGCCACTGGCCCATCCCCCCCTGGGAAGGAGGAGGAGGAGGAGGAGGAGGAGGAGGAGCAGAAGGAAGAGGAGGAGGAGGAGGAGGAGGAGGAGGAGGGCAGGAGGAAGTGAAGGAGGAGGAGGAGGAGGAGGAGGACGACGACGACGAAAATGGAGAGGGTCCTTGAACAGGCACGACCCAGCAGCATCGAATCGGGGGATCGGCTCGAGCCAGAGTTTCCGTCGGATCGGGTCGACACCGAATCGGATCAGTCTGCGAGCGCCGGGCCGCATCGGATCCCCAGAGTACCGGAAGCGAATGGGATCAGGCTGGACAGAATTGATAGCGAATCAGATCGATCGGGTCGATTTTGACCCTGACTCGACGATCCTGCCCTCCTTTCGGACCCCTCCACCAGAGCCACCCCTCTCATCTGGAGGACCCGTGCCTGAGTTCTGTTCGCGGGCCCCCTAGATGCCGATACTCTGAATATGTGCGAAGCTTGCTACAATTCCCCTAACAGCGCTTGCACTTAGAGGCTCTCGCTCCTGTTCTACGAAACTGAACCTGTGCGTCGGTTTGGCGGCTACGTTGCCGCCGTCGCCACCCAGTCGCCGCCTCATCGCCGGCCATCGTCTGGGCCAGTGCGTCGGTCTGGCGGCTATGTTGCCGCCGTCGCCGCCTCGTCGCCGGCAGTGGTCTGGACCTGCGCGTCGGCCTGGCGGCTGTGCAGCCGCCGTCGCCGCTCGTCGCCGCCGTAATAGTGCACCACAAACACTCCTCTCTGCAGAAAAATATTAAGATCTACACCCACCCCAGAATTATCGGTACGCCTTTTTGCATTGCAAAATACATGCGGTAATGCCCGATCGTCCATCCAAAATTACCCTCCCAAGCACTCCCTTATCGCCTCCTCCAGTCCCTGCAGAGAAAAACTATGCGCGCGCATTCGTTGCACAAAAATCATACTTGTTCAAGAACCCAGTGCAACAATTGGGGCGAAGTGCATACACGCGCGCGTCGTCGCGCGCGCATGCCGAAATTCTTCAAAAACATTTCGTGCCGTCAAAATGTTCGGAAAAGCCTGCGCGCGTCGAGCGAGCTCGGGCTCCGGGTCGGGCAGGTCCGCGCGAAGCTCCTCGAGGTCGGCGCGAGCCGCCAGCCGGGCCAGCTCCACGGCGAGGCCCGGGAGGGTCGCCGCAGAGGGCCCCGGCTCACCGCTCGCCACTCCAGCACACCCCTCGTCGCAGGACCGCGCGCGCGAAATGGGGGGCTCAAATTCATCGCGGGCGCCCCAGTCGCCGCCCCGAGCTCGTCGCCCACGGATGGCGCGACCGCGCGCTGCAAAAATGCCCGCTCCGCGCGGACGGACACAGCGCGGATTGCAGGCTTCAGCGCGGCCAGCCTGTCAAGTGGCCCGCGGTCAGAGGCGAGCTCGTGGAGCCGAACGCGAAAGTCAGCCGAGACGCGCAATGGCCAAGTCTCCGCGCGGATTATCACCTCAGGGATAGGGGCCTCCGGAGGAAGACGCGGCGGCCTCCCCTGCCTGCATGAAGCCAGAGGCCGGCGCCGAGATTGGCGCGGGCAACGCTCGAGAGCCGCTGCGAAGGACCAGCGGCCCACTTGCTCGCACGCATGCTGACCGGTGTAAATGCGGTCGAAGCGCGCCCTGGACTCCGGGCCGTCGCGCGCGGCACCTGGTTGCCGGATCTCACGGAACCAGGACTCCTCCAGAAGCGCTGCTTCCAGCGCCAGGTCTCTGCCGCGCCCGAGTCCCTGGCGAAGACCCCCGCGCCCTCGTCGAGCCGGCCCTCCCGCGCCAGAACGAAATTGAAGTCACTGGCGAGGAGCGACAGCACCGCCTGCGGCGCCAACCACCGGCGAATCAGGCCAGCCAGTTCTTCTCGCTGCCGGCGCACTGAAAGTGCGCCCCCTGCCCGCGGCCCCGAGCTCGGCGGTTCGCCGTGCACGCGGCGGCGACGCCCGGCCGGGACATGGGCAGCATAGAGGCCCAAGGTCCCGTCAAGACCACGAGGCGAAAGGCACCCAAGCCGGCCGCGGTCGAGCTCCTCCCACGCCAGCTCCGCCGTCTGAAGCGTCGCAACTCGATCAGCGCCGACGCCGCCCAGGGAAAGCCGCCCCGGCCGACCAAAATGTGCGCGCCAGGCAGGTCCGCGAAGGCCGCAGTGGCCCAGCCCCCCGTCGCGCCGCGCGCTTCGGAAAACATCGCGACGTCAGCGCGCGCGAGCAACTTCTTCAACAAGAGGCGCTTCGCACCGTAGGTTCGCGGAGCCGAATGCCGCAGCACGAAGCGTCCGAGGCGAAGACCTCCTCCAGAAGCTGCCCCCATCTCTCTGGGGTCGCCAAGGAGCGGATGGTCAGGCGCCCGGGCCCGACGAGGGCCGTCTCGCTGCAGAGCGGACCCAGAAGCGGAGCCGCTGGCGGGGACGACAGCACCAGGAGCGGGGCCGCCCCGTTACCGCAAATGTCGCCCAGCACCACCTTCGCGGTCGGCGAGAGGCCGCTCGCCCGGAGGTGCTGCAACATCGCCCGCAACGCCAATGAAGTAGCCGCCCCTGCCGGAAAGCAACCTCGCAAGAGAGGTCGTCGAGCATCCCGCGAGGAGCCCAAGCTGTAGCGCGGATCAGCCCATCAAATCGGCAGGTGACCCAGCTGTTGCTTGAGAAGGTGCTGCACGATCACCACATCGTTGAACGGGCAGTCCACCTGTATGCCACGACCACGCTCCAGGTTGAGGAGCAGGCCCTCCGCGGAGATGGCGACCGGCGCGGGTGGTCCCTGGGAGCGGGCCAGCGTGACGAGCATCAGCGCCCGCAGCCCCTGCACCAGCGTCGTCGCCCGCCCAACATGATCTTCAGGGGGCGATCCGTGAACGAGACCGTTCGTATCATCTGGGCCTGGGTTCGCAACAGCTGGCGCGGCCAGAGGTCCGTAACTGCGGTGGCGTCCGAGCAGCCTGACGGCACGCCCACTGCCGCATTCAGGCGAAGGGTTAGAGGGTGCGGCGACACGATGGCATGCTGCGCGTAGGCGGCGAGGAGCCTGCCCACCGAGGCTGCGCCCTGCGGGCACCACATCGTGGCCGACAAAATCCCTGCTCCCGGAGCGCCTCTGGCCCGCGTGCGCAGCACTGGGGCGCCTGCCGCCTGCGGCTGAGCGAAGCCCGCCGGGAGCGCGGCTGCTCCGCCTTCCAGGTCGGAGAATTGCGCGGGGATCGACTCCCCAGGCGCCAGCGGCTCCCGAAGGAGAAGCCAGCGCGGGAGCGCATCTCGACCTCGCGGCCCTCGCTGCAAGTAAGGAGCCGGGCAGTCCGAGCAGGCAGGCCGCTCGGGCCTCGCCGAGTGTGCTCGGCACTCGCCGTGCCGTCGCGGCATCGCCTGGCGGCCACGACGTGTGTTCCGAGGCCGAAAGAAATCGGGAGCGGCCAAGAGGGGGGTGTCCAAGAGGGGGGGTGCAAATCATGACCGGCGGCATGTGCGCCGCCCAGCGGGGGGGCCAGGGACGTCATGAAATAAGAAGAGGCGCCATGAAATCTGCGGAAATATCATGACCCCCGCCATGAGATCCACCCCCCCCTAGTCATCACCCCCCTCTCTTCCGCCCCCGAAGAAAGGAGACGAGCCACCCCAAAACGCTGCTCGATCAGCGCTGCCGCGGGGGCAGGGCCCTCCCGCGGGGCCCGAACCAGCCGGGGCCACAGGTTCGAGGCCCCAGGCCGGAGAGCGCGGCCGCGCAGCGGCGCCCGCAGGCTCGGCCGCCCTGCCAGATATGGGGCGCGTACTATCCCAGCCAGGCCGGTATCACTCCCTGACTACCTACCAGACCACCCCAACCCAACCCGAAGACCCGAATTTCGGGTTGGGGGGGGTGTCTTTTCGATGTTGTTTCGATGTTGTTTCTATGTGTTTCGATGTTTTTTCGAGGGTTCCACATGTGTTTTTTCGATGTTTGCCGACCCCCCCCCCACACTGGAAATCGAGGGCAAATCTGAGCCTTCGGGTTGGGTTGGGGTGGGTTGGTGGGTGGTGAGGCTCCCCCCCGCCGTCCTCTGCAAAATATGCTATGCGCGCACTCTCGCTTATCAAAAACCAGAAGTTTCCAGAAACCCCTTGCAACAAAAAAGGGACGAAGTGCACGCGCGCGCGTCGTCGCGCGCGCATGCCGAAATCCGTCAAGAGCCTTCGGTCTCGGAAGGATTTCAAAATCGAGCTTTCAAAACAAAAAAACCATAGCTTCGCAACACTGATGTTCTAAAAAGCTTACGCGCGCGCTCTTGCGAAATCTGAAGAAAACCATAGGTTTTGCAATCTGTTCAAAAAAACAACTGCCAAACGGGCTTCGCGCGCCCGCATGTCGAAATCTTTCGAACGCCCTTGCGCGCATGCCGTCGCAAGAATCCTCTGTAAAAAAACTGCACGAAATGCAGACGCGCGCGTCGTCGCGCGCGCATGCCGAAATCCTTCGGAAACCTTCGGTTTCGGAAGGATTTCAAAATCGTGTGTCCAAAAAACATACAAAAACACAAGGTTTCGCAACACGGATGTTCAACAAAAATGTGCGCGCGCGTTATTGCGTCGTCGTCGTCGTCGCCGTCCTCCCTCCTCCCTCGTCGTCGTCGTCGTCATCGTTGCCGTCGTCGTCGTCTGTCCGTCATCGACGTCTTGGCGTCGTCGTCGTTTCCGTCGTCGTTGTCGCCGTGGTCGTCCTTCCTCCCTCGTCGTCTTCGTCAACGTTTCGTCGTTGTCCTTTCTGGTTCGTCGCCGTCGTCGTCGTCGTCGTCGTCGTCTTCCCTCCTCCCTCGTCGTTGTCGTCGTCGTCGTCGTCCTCCCTCCTCCCTCGTCATCGTCGTCGTCTTCGTTGGCGACGTTGTCGTCGTCGTCGTCTTCGTCGTCGCCGTCGTCGTCGTCGTCGTCGTCGTCGTCGTCGGCGTCGTCGTCGGCGGCGGCGGCGTCGTCGTCGTCGTCGTCGGCGTTGTCATCGTCGTCGTCGTCGTCGTCAGCGTCGGCGTCGTCGTCGTCGGTGTTGTCGTCGTCGTCGTCGTTGTCGTCGTCGTCGAAGTCGTTGGAGACGTCGTCGGTGTCGTCGTAGTCGTTGTCGGCGGCGTCGTCGTCGTCATTGTCGCTATCGTCGTCGGCGTCAGTGTCGTTGCCAAGTGCCATTTGGTACTCACCGTCACGGTCTTAAAAGGTCTTGCGACCAAGTTGCGGGTGGGAGGGTGGGATGTTTGCACGAGCAGTGGAGAGGACAGCTTCAAATTGAGCAAGTGAATTGCACCACGTAGGTTGCACCACGTAGAATACTCAACCTAGATTGCAGAACATATACGGGTAGAAGCACACTGTTCGGGGCCCACGCTGGCTACCATTAGCTGCTCTGTGGGAAAGACCTTGCGCAGATGCAGAAGTAGCAGAGAGCAGCAATGTGCACACATGATATTGTGCTGTATCAGGCTGAGGCACTACATGCGCTGCATATGGACAGCACAACTGTAACTACACTGTTGCTCCCAGAAGCACGACTGCGAGCCACGCTCGTGTGAGCTGCATTGCTTCTGACTCCTGCAAGAGCAGGGCGCACGTTCGAGCTGGCGTGCGAATTGGACACGCGTGTTCGGCAAGGCCGCTTGGTGGCAGCAGCACCGCGACCGATACCACATCTCCCTAGACCCCAGACATCTCCCATAGTGCGCTCCGACCAGGAATCCGCGGGGTATCCGGCCGTGTCGACGAGGGCCCACAAGGAGGCCCGAGAGGGAGACAGCGAGGAAAGGGTACCGGTATCGGTGCGTGCTTCGATCTCTGACGAGGAGAGGGCGGAGAGAGGCTGGCTGGCACCCCCCGCAAGCAAAGCGGCCACCTCGTCCTGGCCAGTCTGCTGAGAGAGCAGCTTCGCGGAGTCGAACGCCTCGATGGCGAGCAGCTCCCCGAGGGGCACGGCGTCTGGCTTCTTCGAAAGACTGCACTCGATGATCGGAACAAAGGAGTTGATGCCACGGATGGCGCCCTTTGTCTCGTTCACGTAGTCCCTGTCGCAGACGTCGATCTTGTTCAGGAGCACCTTGTCTGCAAACCCGACCTGCTGAGCCGACTCGTTCACGGCGTTGTCGTCTCTCTCGCGATGCAGCTGGGTCAGGAAGTGCTTGCAGTCAACCACCGTCAGAACTCCATCGATTTTCGTGTATTTCCCACACGTCGCATCTTTCCCAAAAATGTTGATGATCGGCCCTGGGTCCGCCATGCCCGTAGTCTCGATTAGAATGCCGTCGAGCTTAGCATCTGCTACCCCTGCCTGGTACCTCTCTTCCACCTTGTCGATTATTTCCCTGATCGCCGCGACAAGGTCATCGCGAATAGTGCAACACAAACACCCGTTGTCAAGCACCGAGATGGACTCCACTGTTTCGTGCTTGCCCACGGCCTGATTGAGGAGCTGATCGTCAATGGACACTGCGCCAAACTCGTTCTCGATTATGGCATACTTCTTGCCATGATGCGCTGTCAAGATGTAATTCAAAAGCGTAGTCTTCCCCGCTCCTAGGAAACCCGTAAGAATCGTCACAGGAATCTGGCCGTCGCTGAGAAGGCCTTCGATCCTCCTGATGCACTTGTCGTCGTCCTTGGGGGCAAAGATGGTCGGCCCGTAGTCCAGCTTTATCTGGTAAGGCACTATCTTGCCGGGGGGCCACTTCGAGTCCCTCCACCAGTGCGTCACGACGGTGCCCGAGCGCCAACCGGAGCAGTTGCACTCTACACGCGCGCCGATTGCAAACCGCAGCGGCTGGCTTCCGTCTGGCGCCTGCTGCTGTGAGGGCTTCGCCTCAGCAGCCGGCGCAGCTGCGGCACTGTCGTCTCTATTCTTGTCGGCCTTGCTGCCAGATCCACCCATGAGTAGACGGGGGCACCAAAGCCGCAGCCTCGAGGGCCTGGATGGTGCTCGAGCCCGAAGCTCGACGCACGATGGACGGCGGCATGGCAACCATCATGGGCAACGCGCAACAAGGAGGTATCAACGAGAGCGAACAGACTCACGACACACACACACACACATACACACAGAGCACCAGTGATGGTAGCAAACGAGCGGTGGTCGTGGCCTACAGCAGCGGTGCACGCTGCGAGCTGGGCAGGCAGGGTCGCCGTGATGGGAAATCGGATGTAGTTCGCCAGTTGCAACTGGGAGCGTCACAACAGCGGCCATGCCAACAACGAGGACCTGAAAATGCGAGTGCGAGCGGCGAGGATAGCAACGACAAGCGTGATAGGATGAAGATGGCACCCAAACAAGTGAAGACGAGGACGAGTTCGAGGAGGGAGACCACGAAGGAGACCAACCCGACGGCCAGTATGACGAGAACCGAGGAGGCGAGGGAGCAGCGAACAGGGCCCTGTGTGGCATCTCCGTTTCCGATGACCACAGCAGCGCTGGCACTGAGGTTGCTGACGGCAGCCAGGCGGAGGGAGGACGTGACGTCGCTCTGCCCACTGCTCGTGATATTCCTCTGTCCCTCCTCTCCCTCCTTTCCCACACCTCCTCGTCCCCTGGTGTTTTCTGTTTCGTGAGGTGAGGGGGGCTGGGGTTCAGCTTTTAGTGCGCCCTCTACCCTACACCTACACTCAATGTTTGGTATCCCTCCTACCTCTCCTGCCCCTCCCAGTTTGACCCTGAGCCCGCGTTGTCCCACCCCCTGTCCCTCCTCGTGTAACTCATCTCCCTCCCCTTCACCCTATACTCCCAATCATCTCCCCCCCTGCTACTCACCCTTCTTCCTTCCTCCCTATCATGATCCTCCTCGCCCGTCCGTGCGCCCTCTACCCCGACTCTTTATATGTAGCATCTCCACGTCGCGCCACCAGCAGTGTCGGCAGAGCGGGCCGGGCGTTGAGCCTGAGACTTTCTCGATATCTGCGATATCGAAGCTTGACAGTTCCCAGAGCTGCACGGATCGGGTGGGAGGTGCAGTGTGTTCCAAGCGTGGGTCTCGCCCTGGCGCCGCGCACCGTGCTTGTGAATGCTGCCAGCAGTCTCAAGACGGAGAGCAGCCAGTCTTCAAAAGTGTGGCTCTGGCCTTGGCGCCGCGCACGGTCAACGGCTCCCGACGGCATACGGATGGCGGGCGGCCCCGGTTCTCCGACGTGTGGCTCTCGACCTGGCGCTGCGCGCACGGGCCTTGAAAGCCCGCAGCAGCCGCACGGGCGAAGGGCGGCCTTATATCTCAACACGGGAATCTCGCACGCGCCCTCCAAGGCTACCACCACAACCTCGGAACTGCGCACCAGCTGCACGATGGAGGGTGCTCCCTTCGAGTTTAGGAAGGCACCAACTATACACCAACACCGATCCTGGCCCAGGATCACCCTGGGCCCAGGATCGGTGTATACGCCCTCCTGCCTTGCGCAAGAAGGCATATACACCGATCCTGGGCCCAGGGTGATCCTGGGCCAGGATCGGTGTTGGTGTATAGTTGGTGCCCTCCGATTCGAACGCCTGGGCTCTCGCTGGACGTGTCCTTCTATGGCAAGCCACCCCTCTGAAGCTCCTGTAGCTGGAAGGGGGAGGCCCAGTCCTGCACAAAACCGTGCTCTATCGCCTGAACGGCAGGCCCGCTGGGGGGCTTTAACCCCTCGGCAGTTACTCCAGATTTCGTAATAAAGGGAGGCGGGGGGGGGGGGGACGAGCCCAGCGCGGCGCGGGCCCCGCCCCCACGCGCGCCGTCCTCCAGCGTGCAGGGGCCGTCCGCGCTGCCCGCCGGCGAGGCCGCCGCGGGGGCCGAGGCCTGGCGCGCGCGGGCGCCGGGCGCGGGCGCCAGGCGCGGGAGCGTCTTCGGAGGGGCCGGTGGGCGCGAAGGATACTCCAGATTTCGTAATACAGGGAGGAGGGTCTCATTTCGGGGGGGGGTCTCGTCCAGGCTATCTTGGAGGGCCTGGGGGGTCTGGGGACGATGTTTTGGAGGTTTCTCCCACGGGGGAGGTCTGAAATGGCTTGTGTTGGAGGGTCCAGACCCCCTCCCTTTTATTACGAAATCTGGTGTACCCAACATGAGTACTGGTCGCCCTTCTCTAAGAGGGGGTGCCCAGGGAGTCACCGATGAGTAGACAGAAGTTCCCGGATCCCC